CCCAAGATACAGACACTTCTTCGGCATGAATCCTAATGGTGGGAGTTCTGGTTCTTGTAGAATCCAGACGATAGGTGGGCAGGACCCTAACCAGGGGCCATCTGGAGAATCCAAGAATGGCTGATATGTTAACGCCTAAATCCTGGAATTAAGGCAAAAACTGCCCTTGCTGTGGTCCGAGGTCCACTCTGGGGCAGAGTGGAGAGGCCCAGCAGAGTCACCGAGCTGTCCTGCCCTCATGGTTCTTTGCTGCTGGGATTCAAGAGGTGCACAGGAAGTCAGATCTCAATGGCTGCAGGGGTTTGGATATACAAGGAGGATTCAATGAGGAGTCCCCAGTTGCCCCCATAACCACAGCTGCTTAGCTCTGCAATGTTCCTTCTTTTATCTGTTGGATAAAAAGATTTCTCTCATCTTCTGGAGTCCGCCCATTCTGAGCTCGGACAATACACGTGGGCCGATGAAGGTTGAGCATGTATATTAAATGCTGCTTCTCGTTTTTGAGCTCCTCGATTTGGGCCTTCAGTTCAGCATTCACACTCTCCAGCTTCTCTGACTCCTGGGGGACAAGCAACAGAGTTACTAGGAATGGAGCCAAGGTCCAGCAAGGAGGGGGTAGCCAGGGAGTACCATGTCCCTGGGTGGTAAGGGTAGCACCTGGGACATGTGGGGGCTCATCAAGCTGGAAATGGCTAGCAGGGGCAATGCCACTGGCACCCTGCTACAGTGCCCCACAAAGCTAGGGCAGCAGCCTTAGGTATGGGAGTATCCAGACCCTGGAGAAGCCTTTGAAGTTAGAGGCTTCTTCAGAGATGCCCTTGAGTTTCCACTCAAGGTTGAGGCAGGTAATGAAGCTGCAGTAGAACCAATGGCTCAGAGATCTCCTTAGCACGAGTCCAGCAGCCCATGGACAGGTCTTCTGAACCCACAAGGGCCTTGGGGGCTGGGGTGAAATCCAGATTCATGGTGCTTGGTCTTTTGTGAGTCACTCATTTCACTGAGAAGCTCATCTCCCCAGAAACAATGTATATGACAACACACAAAATGTCTTAATTTTCATTGACTCCCTAAGGCAGTCAAAAGAACCTTTTGGGACCTGTGGAATTTGGGTGATGACTCTGCCCTGGCCTGTCCACACTTGGGGGGAGAGACATAACCACTGGAAAGACTACAACACGAGCCACCCTGCTTGCCACAGATACTGTTCGCTTTAGGAAGGGGAGGGAGCTGGCTGAACACAGCCAGGAGCTAAGCCTATTGGGTGAGCCAAGGAGAAGGATTGTAGAGTTAAGAACTACCCGGGAACACCAAGAAAGCTTAACCATTGCTTGTGGATTAAGGAAATTACTTGTTTGAAGAGATTAATTAAAGGTGTTTCATAGTGAGCCAAATGAGAGCTGGCAGCTTCCTTTTCTCAGGAAAACGGGCAAGTGAAGCCTCTTGGACTGCGCTGACATATCCTGCAGCCTGGGAGCTGCTAGACATGTAGGGACTGGCCGAGGGTGCTGTGATTTTTAAATTCACACACCTGCTTTTGTACATCCTGAGTCACATTCATTGTGCTAACAGCTTTGCTATTGGCATTTCTGCTACCAGTTCCATAGCCCTTTCTGGGAAAACACTTCTGGGTAGGGGGCTTTTTAACTCCCCTCTGATAGCGACATGAGGTCGGTGGGGGACAGGCATGAGCAAGAGGGCAGGGCAGAGTGAGGGGACACTCACTTTCTGCAGACACTCTGTCTTCTCTTTCTTCTTGTTTCGGCACTTGGCGGCCGCAATCTTATTTCTTTCTCGTCGCCTCTTTTTCCTTTCATCTTCTTCAGGGGCTACCTGTAAAATCCAAGAGGCACCTGCTTAATGGGAGGCAAGAAATGAGACCCACCTCAAATGCACTGCCTGTTATTGCCAGCAAAAACTAGCAAATTAGAGCAGCTGTAATGCTAAAGGACCTGGAAACAGTAAAACCCCGGACTTAAGTGAAACATCACCACACACCTACGTCGCTAAGACTGAACAATGAAAATTAAAGAACTGTTAGTTAAAATTATATTGACAATATTGGTAAATCAAAATTTAGCTTATTTTAAAAGGCATTTGGATTTTGAAATAAGAGTTTGGTATTCAAATTGATAACTATTGGTAATAACAGTAATTGTTTAGAACAAGAAACAGATTCTGTTTGGTAACTATGTCCTTTCCCCTAGAACCAGGAATGACCTCAGTGGCCTGGCCACCCTGTTCCCCTGTTTCTTTGATTCAAGGCCCAAGGGCAGACCATTCATCTCCATCTTCACTGGAGCATCAATGCACCTCCTTCCTGAATTCAGGAGATGTCCATGGAGCTCCTGGAGAAGAGGACCCAAGCTCATTCCCAACCACAGTGGCAATATCAGCCCATGGCTTGGTGCCACTGATGGGTGGCAAACTAGAACCATCCATTGATTTGTCCTTCCTCTGTGCTTCCCCTGAGCCAGCCCTAGGGCTCCTCAGAAAACAAAACCCTATTCTGTTTTCGGTTCTGGCCCTCTGGAAGTTCCCGCTGATCTTGACTTTGTCTGAGGAATGATGAGGAATCAGCAAAGTCTGGCTGCTGGACCTGGCTTAGAGACCAGAGTCCAGCTATGGTGGAGCACTTACTGTGGGCTGAGTGGGTAATGGTTTAGGCTGCTAATGTCAGACCTTGTCCTGTCACTTGTCACTGCTCTGGACAGTGGGAAAGGGTGTGGGAGCCATACCTCAAACCAGAGATCTTGGCATGAGATGATACTTTGTTTGGACTGAGATGGAAGGTCTTGCAATTTAGAGAAACAAAGCCCAAGGGGGAAATATGGTGAGAGAAATTCTACCTCTGATATTCCAGATCCCAGAACCACGCAGGCAGACATTTACGTTTAGACTAAATTGCCTTTGAATCCTAGCTTTACTACCTATTAGCTGTGAGACCTTGGGTAAGCAACCATGTTCTTCTGAGCCTCAGTTTCCTCATTTGTAAAATGGGATCAATAATCTTACCCACCTAATAGGGTTGTGATGAGGGTCAAATTAGTTAATAAACGTAAATGCTTTGCACAGTGTCTGGCTTACGGTCGGTGCTATCTGTATAGCTTTAGCTGTTATTAACCTCATCATCCGTGTCTTCATCAACAACTCAGCAATTCTAGTATTTCCTTTGACATTTTTTCCTTTGACATTTTGATATTTCCTACAGACATTTTGGATAGGTGGGAGAGGATTCAGGGTTTTCTCACATGGGGAAGTACTTGAAAGTAGAGCAGATCTCAGAGTCACACACCATCAGAGATGGAAAAGCCTTTCTAGAGGCCATTTAGTTCAGTCCCATCAGTTTATTAACGTGGAAATGTGGAATTCAACCAACAAATAAATACCCATCTATTAGTGTAGTAACGTGCCCAGGGAGGCCCAGGAATCACCAACTCATGGTCAGCAGACCAGTAGGCTACAAAACCCTGATGTTACCCAGGCCTTGGGCTCCTCATCCCGTGTCCTCTCGGGTCACAGCTGCCTCGTTCCACCATGTTGCCTTCCCAGAGGTGACTAGGATCTGGGGAACAGGCTCACGCTGCCCAAACGCACAGGATGCCTAAGGGTTTCACAGGCTCAGTGTCTAATTTTACGCTAAGAATTATAGCAGCCAAGGGGACCAGAATATTCAGTAGGTCAGTTGGTGCATTCTCTTCCCAGTAGGAAAATCTACTTGTTAAACTAGCCAAAGATCAAAAGATCACTTGAGGAACACAGAATCACAGATGGACTGGGTGGCTTTAAGGAGTTTTCCCATAAAGCAGGCTGCCTGCCTACTTCTTCCTCAGGAAAACCCTCAAAATATCCTTCAAAATGCTCTCCTTCCTTCTATGGCAGTCCTACTACTTCCATTGCATCCTGTTATCTCAAGATATTTAATTATAAAATTAACTGGGTGTCCCATTGTCCAACCTGCACTGTCCACTATTAGGCTGAGTACCGATGATATCCCCTCAGGTTAATTAGGGTCCAGCCAATGCCTCTAATGACAGCATCATACAGTGGTCCTCTCTATCAGTCACTGAACTATCAGCCAAGTGCTCTGCTAGACCCTTAAAAAATGTCACTTCATTCACCCTTATACAGGTTCATAAAGCCCTTTTATAGAATCATAAAGATCCTTAATTAACCAACTTCCTTTAAAACTCAGTTCCTTTTCTGCCAGTTCCATGACTCCTTGCCCAAAGGCAGTGTTCATGCCAGTGCAACACTCCCATCTTGTGCCCAGGATGGAAGGCCAACAAAACATCTAAAACCCCAGCTTTGAGTCCTCGAGCCACCATAACATCAGCAACCACCTCTCAGACTTCTCACCATGTCTGTTACTCCAGGTGTCTTATAAAAAGGTCACCCAGTGGGGAGCAGTGCAAGTGTCAGAGACAGAAGTGTACTTGGAGCAGAACCTGGTACCAAGGCTTCTGAGCATGGCTGCTGGACACTGATGGTGATCTCACACAGGCTCGCGGCTTTAAATAACATCCCTGTACTGGTGGCTTCCAACTCTACATCTCTGCCCTGATTCTCCTCTGAACTCTCTGAATGCATATCCAACTGCCTCCTCTACCAGGGTGTCCAACAGGATGGACTCCTGTCCTTGCCCCACCCATCCTCAAGAGCACATGGGTTCGCCATCCTTACAGGTGGTCAAGCCAGAAATTTTGGAGCCACCCTTGAGTCCTCACTCCACACCCAAGGCCCACCTTGCTACTGCTTATAGCCACCAAGCACAGTCCCCCTAGGTGCCCTTATTTCTGCTCTTTGGCCAGATATGCAGATGGCTCCTCTCTCCCTTCCTTTGAGTCTCTGCTCAGAGGTCATTCTATCAGCGAAGCATTCCCTGACCTCCCGATTTAAAACAGCATCCCACCTCTACCCCACTCTCAGTCTCCCTTTGCTGCTTAATTTTTCTCCCTTGCCCTTGTCTCTCATATTATGTATTTACTACTGTCTCCTCCCAGCAGAAGGTAAGCTCTCTGAGGGCAGTGGTTTGTGTTAGTCACGCTGTTGCCCCGTCTAGAGCATGTCTGGCATGTGGTAGGTGTGCAGGCATACGGTAAACACATGCTGAAAGAACGGGCACCTACCTGGGCTTTGGTGACTGACATCTCAAGGGGTCTGCTGCTGACAGTGACCGACTCCAGAGCAGAGGACATCCGGTGGCAGAGGTGCTTGTTCTGGATGGCAAATCTCAGCTCTTCCTTGACAAAGGGTGTCAGGTTAGCAAAATCTTCAAACACCAGTGACCCAGGAGGGGACAGGCAGGGGACGATGGCAGAGGCACTGACTTCCGAGGCAGAGACCTGGCCTGGGTGTTGAAGCATCATTTTGCTGAAAGACACATCGAAACCCAAACTACTTCAGGGATTGGGGGCATGGGGCCAAGTCCCGCCACACCTGCGACCTCCAACCGGAAACCCATCCCCAAGGAAAGCCTCATAGCCCTCCGGCTTCTGTTTTGTTTTCATTTCATGCCATGCTCTGCTTGAGTAAAACAGGCTCTTAAAATACACAGCTCAGTGGATAAAATGCCTAACTTAAATTTGTCAGGGTTGGCGTTTCAGGCTATTCTGAATTCTCAAAACCATTCGTTTTGGCTGGTGTGCATACATGCAAATGTAGCCTCAAACAGTACTGAAAGAGGAAGACCATTATAAAAAGGGAAACTATTATGTAACCTCATTTCCAGTCTCTTTTTGAAAAGAGAAACTTGGTATCTGAAATGAAGTGGAAGTTGTCAGTGAGCAGAAGCAAAGCAAGGCGTGGGGAACCCTTGAATGTAGCAAATATGGCTCTGATAATTCTCCTTCAGGAAGTTGGATCCAAATAAATGAGCATGAGGATAGTAACTGTGGCCGGTGTGTTTCTTTCAGCCAGTCCTTGGAAGGGGCTGGGGGCTAGGGATTCAGATCACAAAGAACCAGCAGCCACTTTGTAAAGTTACGCTTAATGAAGCAAAGACCTCAGAGTAAAGAAAAGTGAGGAGCTAAGACTTAGGACCTCATCTGGAGGTCTTGTTCAGCCCTGTGGTGTCTGGAGAGGCTTGGTCTGGGGGCCAAAGGGGACCTGGCACTAAGGAACAGTGTGACCTGAGCTCTCTGAGTCTCAGTCTTTATCTGGCATATGGCTGATAGCTCCTTCAGCACAGGGACTGAGTGTATGCTGTCACTCTATCCCAGAGCCTGGTACAGTGCCTGGTACAGTGCCTGGCACCGGCTGTTCCCAATCCCTGCTGACCACTGGAGACTGCCCAACTCAATACATGGAATCAGGAATGGGTGGCCAAATCAAATGGCTTCTGAGGTCCCGTTTATCTCTATTATTCTACAGCCCAGGGAATCCAAAGCGACAATAGGAAAATAAAGGGTAGAAACAGTAACAGTCTCATGGTTCCCATAAATTTCTCCCTGCCATATACTTCCTCCAGCACTGGCTGTTCCCCCTTATTCAGGCAGTCAGTTCTCCAAGGGTAGTGAGGGTAGAGATTGTCTAGTCAGGGGGTCTCCTGGAGCATCCTTCTCAATCTGGGGATCTGTACTCTTCAAGACAAGTCCAACCAGATAAGAAGCCCATCAGTAAACCGCTAACATTTAACGAGTGCCTCCTTCATACCAGAAACCTTACATTATCTCATTTCATTCTCATGAGAACCCAGCGAGTTAGGTCCTAGCTCCATTTTACAGATGGAGTAACTGAGGTTTATACAAGCTAAACAATTTGCCTAAAGTCATAGTGTGAGACAGCATCAGGATTTGGAATTAGGTTTGACTCCAGAACTCATGCCCTTAATTTATAGAATATAGAATATTATTCCACATTGCAAAAACAAACAAAAAACCAGAGCAAATTTTTCTTGGGGATGGGGGCAGGCATAAGGGTA